AATCAAAATGGAGAGCCGTTTGGCAACAGGAAGAATTAAAAGGACAGAGATTTGAGAGGCAGATGGTCAACTGACAAGTGACCTCTCCCCCGTCAAACAAAAAAGAAACAGCTGACGCCCTTTTTGAGTTACGTGATGAGGTGCGGGTGTTTTTTCTGGACACAAAGTTTGAACTGGCACATGGCCTCAGAGATTTTGAGTGGTTGGCTGCTTCGGGTTACCTGGCCGATATTTTCAGCCACTTAAATGGACTTAACCTCGGCCTCCAGGGAACAGAAGTGAACATGTTCAATGTCCAGAATAATGTCGAAGTGACCATTAGAAAACTGGAGCTGTGGGTTAAGAGAGTCGACCATTCAAATTATGACTCATTTGAAAATCGGTCAGATATTGTGACAAAGGAACAGATTCAGCTTCCAATCACCGTGACCAAAGAGCACCTGCAAGGTTTGAAGACCTAGCCGAGCGAATATTTTTATACAGTTGGATAGAAAACCCCTTCGCCAGACACAGTGACAAGGCCCTCGCAACCCTGAGCGCGAGAGAGCGAGACAGCGGATCTCTCCTACGACACCGCATTGAAACTGGTTTTCTCACAGAAGTACGTGACAAACATCCGGCTTCATGTTGCATCTGAGTATCCCGATCTGTCCGACAGAGATGTGAGATTTCTAACGCATTTCCAGAAAAAGTACCTCTGTGAGACGGGATGTTCTGCGCTTGTGGCATTAAAAACTAAATATAGAGGGGGCGTCGAGTAGCTCAGTTGGATGAGCATCCGCCCCATGTGTAGAGGCTACAGTCCTCGCTGCAGATGGCCCTGGTTCAAGCCCTTAGCTGCATGTCATTCCCCCTCTCTCTCCCTCCCCATTTCCTGTCTCTCTCTACTGCACTATCAATAAAGGCACAAAAAGCCCGAAAAAATAAATTAAAAAAAAAAAAACTAAATATAGAAATAAACTGAATGTTGAGCCAGACATCTAGCATTTGGTGGCCGCTATGCAATATTAGCCGTTTCATTAGGTGAGTCAACATAATGTTGACCTATTGTTGAACCCATCCACTGCAGCTTTATAATTATCAATAAGTACGAGTGCAATGTTTTAATTTGTTTTGTTGCAATTGTTGCTTTACTTATCGAAATATTTTTCTTCTGGTTATGCCTACAGGCTGAATTTACTGTATACTCACATTGAATTTCAGTCTGTTTGTAGGCCATGTAGTCATTTTTAATGAATCAGCTGTGGATACGTGTCGGGGACGGAAGCCCCTGTATGAGCCAGCAGTGGATGCTGCATATAGCGCAAAACACAAACACATACTGTCTTTCTATGTGGGGAGTGGGAGGGAAATCCACAATGGACTGTTGTTTTGAAAACCATGCAGTCTTCATATTGTTAGCAGTTTTATAAAAAGCCACAAGTAAGAGTGCAATGTTTTCATTTTGTTTCTTTGCAATAATGGCTGTTGCTTGTATTTAAGTTTGCTCTGGCTATGCCCATACTGAATTTACAGCATATGTAGACCTACATTGGTTTAATGTGTGTTTATAGGCCTGTCGATTTATTTCTCATTTGTTGAATGATACCGTTATATAATTCGTAATAATTGATTCGTTAATCAGCCTATTGCAGACAGCCCGTTTAATGTAGTGCTGATGGACAGCTCCTTGAAAACTCTATAATACTGAAAGTGACATGTTTCAGATGTTGTGTTATTGACTGTGGAGCTTTCGACATGTTTCCCCTGCTTTCTGCGGCATGTTTGCCCGTTATTATTACAATAAAAAGTGCCCTGAGAACCCATTAGGCCATTTGGCCTCCTCTTGTTTTGGGGTCGCATGTGGGCTGTCAACATTTTCGACATTTTCAAGTGGGCCGTGAGTTGGAAAAGGTTGGAAACCACTCATCTAGTGATTTGGTATCTCGCCTGTTTTTCACTTGTGACCAGCAGCTACCAGCAATAAATAGACACGGAGATATTTGTTGATAGTCATACTGATATGATACCAGCAACATTATATATAACTGACACCTTTCACTAGCCTATAGTTTCAATGTCTGGACTTCTTATATGAATACTGATATGAATATGACACAGACATGAAAAAAGAAAGTATATATATATATATATATACATATATATACAGTCTATATACAGTATATATATACATTTATTTATATATATTTTTAACCAATTTAGTAACTGCATGGAGAGACAGAATAGACCACATGTACTAGACGGTCATAGCAGAAACCCAATGTTGTTCATAATTGTATTATGTTGATAATTTAACAGGGGGAAGGGCAGTGTTTTACCAGTGCACTCTCTTTAAATAAAGGCGCACGTTGTGTTCCAATACCGTTTCTTTTCTGAACCAGTTCGTCTGCCTCCATCTACAGTTACCGTTTCTAAACACGGATAAACTCGCTTTGGCGCTTCACTTTTTTTTTCACTTTTCATTTCCCTCTGCTCCAGATACAAACACACACACCTCCTCACCTACGTCACACATGCGGAGAGCGTTATGGATGGGAGGGGGAGTGTGTCTGTGAGAGGGAGATAGCGAGAGGAGTGAAACGCCAGAGAGAACTTCATGCCAGAATCTTAAAACAATTACTTGACATTTTATGATGATATTGTCATTTACTACAGCGCACGTGAAACAAACTGCGATACATCCAGTATATTCCATATATCACCCACCCCTAACTTAATGTATAGTGAAAAGGCAACAACATGAACTGATAAACAAAAGAACCACAAGGTTTGACATCTGCCATCATGATATTATCATAGTTCTGTTATTAACACGATTTCAATATTTCATTTTTAGAATATCACAGTTCATCAATACCAGTTTATTGCAAGACTGCTAATTTAAAGAGTGGCAAGTTAGTGAATGTGATAGATGACAAAATCACATCATACCCATGCCCTGAAATATAAGTTGTACAGGATTGATTTTACTTGCAAACATTCACACTAGCAACATTAACTTTACCATAGCTTGCAAGCTGCTAAAATCAGGTGTTCCCAAGTAGGGGTGGTACAAAATATTGATGCACAAATACACTGTATTACTTCCACTTGCGATACTTTACCGTATGCGTTATGAGAGTCCCTACGCCTCGTGCTGGTGCTTATCAAATGAATCGCACTGAAGAAGAAGAAACTCAGAGGGGGAATATGGCGGACACCGTGGAAAGAAGTGAAAACAAATCAGAGAGGCATCGTAATCTTTCAAGTTGAAGGTCTGGGCCGACTTTGGTTTAATTTTATCATGTACAGCACTTTGGTTCCTTCTGGTTGTTTTTTAAAGTGCTTTATAAATAAAGCTGGATTGGATTGGATTGGATAAAACACCTAAATGTGTGTTTTTTGTAGTAAACTAAAACTTTAAACTTAATTTACACAGATTGAAAAGATTTTATGAAGCACAGTTGAATCTTGAATGCTTTCTCACAGCTCTGCCTTTTGCCAGTTTATGGATATTTTACATTGGAATGACGGCACACGTGGTCATGGATGAGATGTAGTCAGTGTATGTGTCTGTGTGTTAAACGAAGCTAATCTTAGACTCTGCACTTTGTTGTACATCTTTTCATCTCTGACACCACAAGGCAGTGAATGAATACATGACTCCTGATTTTTGCCTTTTTAGGGAATTTTTTCTTCTTCAGTTACAAAGATAGTGTGATGTATCATAGATGATTGTTTAGCAATGTATCGAATATTGCAGAATCGTGATACCGTTGTTGTCATGGGCAATGTATTGTGACAGTATCACATTGTCAGCTACTCTGTGATACCCAAGTATGCAGATCAGCACCATCACTTATTGATGATCAATTTACATGTATACTCAGTCAGTACTGGTAATGATAATCATGTCATTTACATTTTTGTCAAGAATCATTTCTATTATGAGGAAGTGTGCTCAGTAGAGCTCAGACCTCCACCAAGGAGGTGTATTGACTCTTATTAGATGCTGTTTAATAAGTGGTATATGGTTGAAAATTTAAAGTCAACTATCAAAGAAATCTGACATTAATGCATAATATCATGTATAATGATATGATGATGACACTATGGCTTTGATCCAATTATTTACAATAATCCAATTATTAATGTTATAAATGTACTGATTCATTGTCCAACACACACCTACATGTATGAAAAAACAAACAAACAAGAAAACACTTCATCAGTTTTAATGGGCATGAAAATAAGACATTAACTGTAAATCTGGCACGTCATGGTGATGAGGTTCAAACCCAGGATTGTTTGCCCGCACACTACAGTAGTGCACTAAAGTACAAAGGACTCAATACACCACCTTTGTAAAGATCTGTGCTCTGCTGAGTGTGTGTTCTATTTACTCAAATTAGATTTAGAAATGAATGAAAAGTTAATTAGAACAGGCTCTTAGTATCATTTCAGTTTCAGTATTGAGATGTTTAGGATGTTTAGGTATCATATCAAAGTCATCATTTTAGTATCATGACAACTCTAACACCTCACATGTGAAGTGGAACCAGCCACACATTAGAAAACATTAGATTTTTTATTTTTTTTTGCTTGCATAGCATTCAACAATGGATTATACACTCACTTGGGCATGATGTTCAGCTGACACCAAATTGCCTGGCTTGTCCCATACATCCTCCTTTCCATTCAGTAATACCAGGCTTGGCACAATGCCTAATCTCCTTCTGACAGCAGCCAGACACATTGGGTGACAAATTGAGGGAAGGAAATGAAAAGTGATGAAGTAGCCATGACTTTTTTATTAAGTATTTTAACATTTAATGCCTACAGATGACAAGACTATTTATCCCTCATCTGGTGCTGTCAGTCAGCGCAGTGCATCTCCGGTAAACTAATGGGTCCTTGTGACACCTGTGTAGACCATGGCACAGTTAAGAAATGCTGCAAAAAAAAAAGGCAGAGACAGCATCAAAGTGCTGAATGAAAGATGTGGCTCCGCTGTGTTACAGGGAAATGGACACGAACGCGACTTCATGGATGACAGGCGAGTGTTCATCATGGATATGTATAATCGCTACATATATCCTGGGGATGGATACGCAAAAAGTGAGTGAAAGCACTTTCTTCTCAACCTTTTTTTTTTTTTTTACCTTAAATATCATAGTAATTAAATTAATTAATATCTTCAGACGGGTTCTTCTGCTTCTCGTGAACTTGTGTACTTAAATGTGATGCATCTGGTGACAAAATAAGCTCTCTGTTCCCCTGATGCCTTGTTGGCGGTTGAGGTAGGAACAGAGCGGGCAGCCTCCTCCAGCTCCAGCCCCTAGATGTCACTCAGTGCCATTTCAATTATTTAGTGATTTCCCTCAGCACTACCACTCACTCTATTAGCTCGCAGCAGAAAAACTTCCAGGCTGTGCAACACCATTATCATGGCTTTTACACTATTGAACATGTTAATACATTAAAGCTGTTCTGACAGGGATCGCATGTTAGCATTTTACCCTAATTTATACAGTACTCTGGAGACGAGACGTCGCAGTCCTGCCTTTAAAATGCTCCCCATCCTTCAGCTGTCTTCTTCTATGCAATTAATTGAATTCTTGACATTTTATAATCGGTCCCTCCCGTAATGAAGTGAAATAAATGTACACTCTGGCTTTTTTAAGATAAAAAATTCTGCTTCATATGTTATGTATTTCGTTGTACCTTCTAACACCAAAGCTTACAATTATTGACACTTTTTTCCTTCAAGTCTATAAAACTAGCAGGATGAGACTTGAAAAACTACCAAAAACTCTGTTCTACATGCGTTTGCATTGCTCCTGCTTTTGCAGCTTAATTGTTTGAACTTTGAAACATGAAGTTCTCCTAATTAACCTTTTTCATCATTTGCATTAATTATGGAAATGTACATACTAATTAATTAAAGCACAAATGCACTATTGCATATCTGAGCATTCTGTAGAAAAGAAACTCAATTAACTACCTGAACTTCATACATATAGGAATTCAGTTATCAGAAATTGTTTTGCCTGCTCGTGCTAAAAGAAATTCAGTTGCATGTAACACTGTAGCAATTACCAGTCTGTATGTGAGGCCTGTGGATTGAGCTCAACATTACTACTACTGTTTCATAACAGTTGCTTTATTGGTGGCAGCTATGTTCCGTGGCTTCGTGCTGTGGCTCTTGAATGTGTTATTTTTCTGTCTTTCAGGAGCCATAAAGAGGAAGGTAGAGCTGGACTGGGGCACTGAAGACTCTGAGTATCTTCAGAAAGTAGAGCTCCACTCCGAGGGAGCTCTGAATGAGGTCCGACCTGACATCATTGTCTATAATGCAGGGACAGACATCTTGGATGGGGACCCACTTGGAGGACTCTCCATATCACCACAGGTACTGTACCTGCTGCGTCAACACCTCTCTAAAACTGTGTCAACAGACACTGAACATTATAATCTTAACGAAGGTCGAGGACTTATCGCAGGACTGTTGGATTAGACTGCATTAGGTAAAAAGGTTCCTGAACATTGCACCATGGAAGTGACACCAATCTGTAGCATTTGTGTATTACAATGCACCTATTAGATAATTCTTAGCAGAACATCATTAGTGTACATCCTTCTTTACTCCTTCAAATTCTAGGAAGGCTAACATCAACTATTTTTATCTACTCTGCTGTAATGGCAGGAAAGATGTCTGAATATAGAACTGGCAGGCTCAGCTGGGTCAGGTCACGTGAGTAGTTCATGAAGCTAATTTGTCAGAAAATATGAAAGCATACTGAGAGCTGATCCGAATGAGCCAAATCTGGATTTATTACTTTCTGCGTGCAGAGATTTCTGGCCAGTGATCTGGCAAATTCCACAAAAACAATAAAGCACATAAGGTGAAGTGGAGATAATACTGATGTGTGTTGCAGAGCTAATTTGTCACTGGCGCTGGTAAATGGCCTTGAAAAGAAAAAGTTGCTGCAGCTTTAATAATTGGTATTTAAAGTTCTGAACGTGAGTTTCTGCCATGCCTAACAATGTTTAAAATCAGCCCTCGTGCTACAAATTGCTCCACAATAAATGACACGAGCCGTCCCGCTCTCAATCCCTAGACAAATGGGGGTGTGTGTGTTTCTTTTCAGTCCCTCCCATATGTGTCGCCCTGAGAGGCTTAGTGCTCCACAGTGGAACAGGGCGATATAGGAACAATCAGTCCTCTTCCAGGCCTCCCCTCCCTCCTCAGGGGAGCAAGGCAGCGTAGATAGAAATGTTAGCCAGCAGCTAAACAGAAATCACAGAAATTAGCAGCACTGTCTGAAGCCGTGGACAAACTGACAGCTTGTATTTCCTCTTCTTTGCCAGGGCATTGTAAAGAGAGATGAGATTGTGTTCAGGGCTGCAAGGAGACGGGGCATCCCTATACTCATGGTAACATCTGGGGGATACCAGAAAAAAACAGCCCGCATCATCGCCGACTCCATTCTCAACTTACACCAGCAGGGCCTGATTGGAGCAGAGGCTCTGGAGGGGGAGGGGTCATCATCTCTGGTGACCAGTATGATGTGCAGCTCTGGACCTGCAGGATCAACATTCACTGCTGTCTGAGGGGCATTAACACTCACAGGTGTGGCCTCCACAGCTGTGACATATGATGGCAGTGAATTAACTTTATATTGTGCAGTGATTGTGTGAAAGCAGCAATGATATTGTGAGGAATGTTTGTTATTTTGTTTGTGTGTGTGTGTGTGTGTGTGTGTGTGTGTGTGTGTGTGTGTGTGTGTGTGTGTGTGTGTGTGTGTGTGTGTGTTAACGAGCTTTGTGAAGTTGGCACTTCATGAAAGGGAATAATCATTCAAAGAGAAAAGTTGTACTGAAACAATAGCGCTCTCTTGACTACAGCAGATTTACATAAGCTCTCACATGCGACAGAAAGAGTATTTAGATTTGAATCCGTGGGAGAATGAAGGGTTTATGTTTTATGTATGTTCAGGGCTGCATTTTGTTGAGGTATTCTTTCATCTCAGGAAATGTAATAATGTCATTGTGAAGGATATGATATATTAATAGTCCATAAAATGGTACAGAGGTGTGATGTTCTTACAGATACATGTTCAGTATATTAATTATCCTCCATCTCACTTTATGGTAACGGAGGTTAAAAATGAAGATAACAACTTGAGAAAAGTGTTGTGATCAAATATAATTTAATAGTGGCGTTTAACCTACAGGACCTAATGTCTTCTTTAGTCCTCATAAGTATTTTGTTTGATCATTTCTAGTCTAAAATGTTGATTTTATCTAGAAAATATTGTAATCAGAGTTAATGTGTTTGATTAATCAAGTTAAACCATTGATGGGTTTTTGTACTTAATGCACTCTGTGCTTTAAATCCACTCATATCTCCAGTTAATGTTTACAGGGAGCCCGGTATGATTTCACTGCAGCTACTAAAATGTTTGGTCTCTAAACTAAAACATGTGACTCTGTGCACTTTAACTGGTGTATGGTGACAGAAAGTTCACCTACACATTCCTGAGCTCCTAAAAAAAAATCAGTGTTCCTTTTTGCAGTGTGCTCCTGTCATCCAGACATCAAAGTCCAAAAACCGAGAAGTGTTCAGTGACTAAAGAGCAGCCCTGACCACTGAAGCTTTTCATGGCTTTTACTTCTGATTGGTTTCAGAACTCAGTGCTCCACTAATGATGTTTACACATACAGTTGTTGTGTATAAGGAGACAAAGTTTCCAAAAAAATACTAAAGAATCTCCATCAGACACACACTGAATACTGAATACGTCTGTGTAGGTGTGTAATATTGGTGTATAATACTAACTAGCCCATTCTAGTTTGAGTTTCTGTACAGTATAATGTTTTAAGTTAACCAAAGCCTTAGTTCACCTTTTCCTTATTTGCACATAATATAAAATATTGATATCACACCTTCATGCTATTGTAAAGCTTCACAAGGCATGTTGATGGATCACTGTGAGAGACGGGAGCAAACACAGAGAGTGGTCATGTGGTATTGGGCCTTAACCAAAACACGTCTGACAGGGCAAGAAGCACGAGTGGCTGGATATTCAGCCTGATTTCAAACAAACCTAGCCTGGTTCCAGACTCCTGAATCACCCGCATCACTGATTAGTTTGAGAATTTAGCTTTAACGGTTGTTTGCTAACGGTGAAACGAGACTGATAATGAGAGTTTTGTAGGTGAGATTATCTATTGACTACATAGCTAGCTACCTGGGAACAACCAGAAATGGTGACGCAGCCGTGCAGACTGTTGTAAATCGACATGAGGAAATTATTAATTCAGCATAACTGCAATGTCTGTGAAAAACATGATACAGCCTCCATGTTAACTGATAATTCGTCAGCAGGACAGGATCTGCTGACTCATTATTGATTTGTTCGGGTAAAACAAGACAATTGAATATCTTTTTCCTAAATAGAAATTGAAGAGTGTTTCAGATTGAAAGAATGAAGTGCAAAGAAATGATTAGTCTCATAACCAGAATGAAACACCCCCACCCCCACCCCTAACCCCTCATTTCAGATCGTTTCACTTTTGGTTGAAAGTCCAAATAAATTGGTTTAGATAATGTGGCTTATGTATGTAGGACATGTCTCATCCACTGCTTGTGTTTCTCACCCCATCAGACTTTGTTCTAGCAATGTTGCCATGTTCCCACATGTCAGCAATATCTTTTAGTACAAAGTATCAACAATAAACAATAAAAATTATCATCAAAAATATATTATGCAAGTTGTAATAAATTGTAACCATCCTTTAAATCCCTTAAATCTAGATTTTCATTCCTCAGAAAGCCAAACCCATGACATCTCAATTTGTTTTATTTAGGTTAAATAGATGAGTGTGTTTTACATTCAGATCTTGTCTCGCGCAGCTTTAGCCGTGCTAATTGACTTCCCAAAGTACAGCAACAACCTGGGGGAGTACAGTAGTTGCAGGAGGAGGGATGGTTGCACATGTGTTCACACTTTGAAGTTTCACAGTGCACTGAGACGTGTACTGTTGGCTTCTGAGTACCTCTAGTTGTGGAATAAACACATGGACAAAGAGGGGTAGACGTCAGTTTGATGTGTCCTGTGTTAGGACTAGTAGGAAGAATCCGACAAAGAAAAAGCCGTTGACCAAATTAGAAGAGACGTTAATGTTACTGGTACTTTTCATAATAAAACCACATCCTCTGTGGACTTTGGCGTGACATGAGATGTGTTTTTCTGTTGTGCAGCTGAGTGGACCTGAAGCGACAGCTGGCAGTTGCCGCTGTAATGATTTTTCTAATGTGTTTTCACATTCATTATCTTCTGCTGCTCTGGCTCCCCTCTACTGTTCCAAAAAAAGTTCCAAAAGTTAGGACTGGAGCTCAGACTCATCATCATTTAAAGGATTAAAACGCCTATCTTTGAACAGCATGAAAAGCGGTGTTCGGTGCTTATCCAGGAAGCTGTTTGGACACATTCATAATGAAACTGTGAGAGGCAGGCCATATTAGCGGTGTCAGTGCTAATTAGCCAAAGCCTTTGATCTGGTGTGCTGCTTTTGAATGCGGCTGAAAGGTTTAGAGCAGTCTACCTTTAATTAGGACTCAGAATATATCACTTATTGTATGCAGGCTTCCTTAATACCCGATGCTATCCCAGATTCCAGCTCATCAGCTCCTTTCTGTGTCAGCCAGCGTTTTAGCCGTTTGAGTTGATTGAATGTTGCGTGCCAAAAATAGCACTCAAGTCTTCAAAGCTGCACTGTATATTTTTTTTGGTGTGTTTGTGGTTTGTGCTGACATTGAAAATTACGTCTATGCATTCATAATGACATTGAATAAATCCTGTAACAAAAAAAAGGTCTGTTTTGCTTTATTTTTTTCATTGATTTTACTGCCCATGCTTAAAGTATGGTATATTTGGAAAACTTTAGTTAATAAAGCTGCTGCTGCTGCTGCTATGTAGTTCAGCATTTCTCAGAATTTTCCATTGAGTGCTGCTCGTCCCATATGGGTGTTCCTAAAGCCCTACCCCATATGATGTAATGACAATCCCACACTTGTACCACAGTGACTCAGTAAGAAAATATCTAAGTAAAGTCCCCGTGTCGTTGAGCTTCACTGATGCATCCTACTGTTGAATTTTCAGATCATTTTCTTGCCTATCTTACAGGTCGTTCATTGCACAGGTCCAACCTGAGGTGAAATTGTTAAAGATAAAGTTTTAGACCTGTAGTAGTGCTATGGAACGTTTTTTTTGTGAGCGTGTGTCCAGAGTTTGTTTATTTCATTCACATGCACAAGGACATAGATACATACATACTGTACAGTCCTACCAATGGTGTCGTGCTCTTCTGCTGATCAACAGATGGCGGTAATGTGTCAAGACATGCTCCAATGCACCAACAACAGCAGAGAAGGAGAACCTGTGACTTAGTTAACATGAATATAAACAATACAGGATTTAAAATACTTTAAAAACTCAGCTTTGCAAATATTTGCTAACAAGAAAACTCCCCAGGGTGTCTTTAAAGTTTCTGTACACACACACACACACACACACAACACACACACACACACACACACAAACACACACTGGAATTTTCATTTGGTCTGATTTGAAACCAGTGCTATATTTGCTATATATTATACAACAGTTAGTTCTGACCAAGTAATTTGATTGGAAAAAGAATCATTCCATGAGTGCTGATATAGAGTACAACAGTACTGGGACTTTTAACTACATGTATCACTCCTCTTTACAGAAGTTCTATTAACTGTTAATTAGCGTTACATTAACGGACGTTATCTGTCTTCGATTGTAACAAACTTTGCAAAGATGAAAATATTTCCAGAAATAACATTTGAATTAAATGATGTCTGGTCATCAGAAGAGGATGAAGGGAAGAAGCCTGGATACTTCAGCGCACACGTCCTGGTGCACCCATATTACATCGTTAAAAATGTTTAAGTGTTGCTTAGCAACAGTTCAGTACCAGTCCAGTTGCGGAATTTGTGTTGGCATAGCCCAATAAATGATGATATAAACAAACAACTCATAATCTGTTGTTGCTTATTTAACTGATATGATGCTTGTAGAACTGTTGTATAATAGTAGTATCACACTCAAGGTCATGATGTTGTACTGAACATCAGCACGGCTGTGATTCGGTCGTAGGTACGAGGCCGCAACATCACTTCCTCATGAATGATATTGCTTAATTATAAATCCCCAAACTGCTTTCATTCAGTCCCATTTGTTCAATAAAAAATTATTCTAAAGCTCTCCAACCCAAGTATGCTAATGATCCGTTTAGCAAACTCCTTAGCTAGTTAGCTTAGCTCTGTTAATAACAGAGCAATATAGTTTATCCAAAAGACACATTTGTACCTTAGATACGTTGAAGGTTAATAAAAGTGTCTGATACAACACAACTAATAACTTCCTCTATGAATAGTCAAGTCAGTTTTTTATTCCTGTAGCGCCAGATCACAACAGAATGTATCTCAATGCACAAGCAAATCTAGCTTCCTCTATTTTGGACTCTCCGGCTCTCTGTTGTCAGCTATGTCAAGACGGTTTGCTATTGATAAGTTCAAAGTTGAAATGTATGCAGAACATTTGCACAGATGAATCCTCTGATCCTCTGATCAGAGCAGTTCAATTAGAGTGAACTGCAGAGATACACTGCAGCAGCCAGAGTATGGACACTGGAATAACCTGTAGT